GTGTGCCCGTTTGCAACGTGGCTACTCAAACGTATTGGAACTCCTTAAAGATGACGTGACTTTTCTCGCATGTAGTCAAATTGCAAAAACGTATATTGCGACGACCCTGTGTGTGTGTGTGTGTGTGTGTGTGTGTGTTCGTCTGTCCGGGTATTTCAAATCAGCAACCAAGCAAGTTCCAGCGCCTAGGTTCCTCAGCCAAGTGCCACCCCAGAACCGCGGTACCAACCCCAACGCAAGTCTGGGCCCCGCATACGAGGGGCATTCCCATTCCTAGGCCTTCCCATCTGTCAGTTCACCGAAGTCGACATTTACATCTGGCACACCACACAGTTGCACAATTAATGTCACAAACTTTGAGCGTCAGCACGTTACAGATTCTAGCTACTGAAATACCATGCGATCTTGCTACAGCATAAAATAGCGCAAAAACGCATGATCGCTCCAGGCCCACCTCGTGCGTTCCAGCCTGGGTTTGTTTTTCACCTACAGCAGTGATCCGAATATGAACATGGGGACACTAACACAGTTTCCGGTGAATACTGAGAACTAAACTGAGTTGCTCGCTTCGTATTATATTTGGACTGAACTTTCAAAATTGTACAGCTAATTTCATCCCTCTCGAATTATGGCGTTAGGTTTAACTTGAGCCTGATGTGAGAGAGGTCAAGAAAAACAGTCAGGAAGAGTAAGCGGGAAGCAGAATTCAGGCTTATAGCTCGTGCACGGAATTGATCACTGCGTTTTCAGTACTCCAGTAACCTAACTTTTGCGGTCCTGGAGTCATCGCCACTAACTCGTTCCCTTTTGACCTTTCGTTCTTTTTCCTCCTATTTTGAAAAAAAGTGTTGGGACGGCATCCGCGTTTCATCACTTTTTCCTCCCATTCTGTTTTCCGAAGAGCAACAGCAAGCGTCAATAATAATGACAGAACTGTATGAGTGAAAAAAAAAAAAAAAAAAACTCTTCGGTTATAAAAAATCAAACACTGCTCTCGTGGAAAGATTCGCTGAGGTGGAATCCTATCAGGAGACAAAGCAGACTATAAGGTCGCCAGTGGGCTGACCATCAGACGATGCAGCACTGGCCACAGCAACTGTAAATGTCAACTACACAGTTGAAGAACGAACTATGAATTAACAGTTAATCAAAGTATCTTAAGTACCATAACACAAAAGGTTAAAGGGGAAACAGTACCACTAAAGCACCATACATAACTATCTTTCATGATCAAGGATTATATTTGAAACGCTGTGTTACTGGGGACCTGTGGAGAACGAGCAAATGGAAGTAACTGGGATTCAAAATAATCACAGCACAACGGACTACACTACGAAGCCAAACTGCTAAAGCAGGCAAAAGGGTATTATCTCCTCTCTCTATCGTCAATCCACCCTTCTTGAAAAGGACTTTAGCTACCGGTGAGCGATGACGGCAGGAGAGGTTGGTTGCAGGCAAACGATGACGGCAGGAGAGGTTGGTTGCAGACCGTAAACACGCAATGGCAGCATTATGCTCATTAGATCTGCTAATTTAGCTCCCACTACAGCTGAAATACATAATGCAAAAAAAAATGAGCAGCAATTCCTGCGCGCCACCGGCCGATGCGAAACGACTGTTGCGCGATCGGGCAAACTGGGAGCATTAACAAATCATTAGGAAGGTAAACACGTAAACAGCGAAACAATGAAATCGAAACGACCGCGACGCGCAGCGACCGCTCAGCAGTGCAACAGATAAAGGAAATGAAGCCCAGGAGCGGTGCATTCCACTAACCAAACATCCCGAGTGAGCCAAACGAGGGACAAGGGAGTCGCTGTCAGCAACGGTGCATTGGAAGGAGTATGAGGCGGTTACTAAAACTCAGCTCAGCTTGGGAGGCACCATATGTGGTCGGCGAGTGATTTTATCAGGTGTCCTTACCTGGCTGAGGCATAAAACGCTGGATGCCGCAGATGAGGTGGTAGTGGGAGGAGCGGGGAGAGGGAGGG